CATCCCAAGGGCACCATGGAACAATAATACTCATTTCTGGGGATGTTAAAGGGCCAGGGCTCCATTGCATTCAGCACTATGTGGGCACCTAAGAAGCTCTCAACAAGCAAGTTAACCATTTATCTTCCTCTACCAACTGCAAGTTGAAACCTTAGGAAACCACCAGGAGGGTCATGGGGTTGGGCACAGCAGTGATGGGAAAAGTCACACAATTGCTATTTTTTTTTCTACGAGGTAGGGTCTTGCTCTGTCACTCAGGATGGAGTGCAGTAGTGCCATCATGGCTCATAACAGCCTCAACCTCCTGGGCTCATGTGATTCTCTCACCTCAGCTTCCCCAGTAGCTGGGACTACAGGTGCACACCACCACACCTGCTAAAGTTCTTGTTAATTGTAGAGACAGAGTCTCCTTATGTCACCCAGACTGGTCTCAAACTCTTGGGCTCAAGTAATCCTCCTGCTCTGGCCTGCTGAAGTGCTGGGATTATAGGTGTGAGGCACACTCCAGGCCCACATTTGTTTTTTATTGCACGACAGACTGAGGAAATACGCCAGGTGGAGGAACAGATCAAAACTTCAAAGCGAGGCTACTGTGTTCCGGTCTGCAAGAAACCAGACTGGCAGCAAAAAGAGCTCTTTCTGGATTCCCAGTGCAGGTGTTAGCAAGCGCTGAAGAGGTGGGCTGAGTGAACGAACAAGTACATGAATCAATGATGAGAGAACCGCGGGAGGAATTTTTTAATCCTGAGTTGTTTGCCCGGAAAGGTAGCTCCCCAGATACAAGTTTCTTTAGAGGCAAAGGGAAACAAATTCTTGTGTGTTTTTTCCTTCTTTCTTTTATTGTTTTTTTGAGATGAAATTTCGCTCTTGTTGCCCAGGCTGGAGTGCAATGGCGTGATCTTGGCCCACTACAACCTTCACCTCCCAAGTTCAATCGATTCTCCCGCCTCAGCCTCCTGAGTAAGTAACTGGGATTACAGGCATTCACCACCACGCCCAGGTAATTTTTGTATTTTTAGTAGAGATGGGGTTTTGCTGCGTTGGTCAGGATGGTCTCGATCTCCTGACCTTAGGTGGTCCACCTGCCTTGGCCTCCCAAAGTGCTGGGATTACAGGTGTCAGCCACCATGTCCAGTCACAAATTCTTTTAAAATTTTCTTATAGAGATGGGATCTCCCTATGTTTCCTAGGCTGAGCTCAAACTCCTGGGCTCAACCAATTCTCCTGCCTCAGTCTCCCAAAGTGCTGGGATTTCAGGTATGAGCCACTACGCTTGGCCGGGAAACAAATTCTTAATAAGTGATTGCAGAGGCTACTATTGTCTCTGGTTAAATTCAGAAACTGAGGTTCAGGGAGGTGATGTGGCTTGAGGCAGAGTAGAGGGGTTAATGCTCTGCTCTTCTTCGCGTCCTCAGGACTATTACTTGGAGCTAAGCCTTCCAAGCCCAGAGGCCCCAAGCAGGTACCAGCCCCATGAGGGCCCCTGCAGTTCAGGTGTGTCCAGCCCAGGCAGGAGGCCCCTCGGAACAGGCCTGAATCCAGCTGGAGAACAGGCCTCTCTGTCTTAGAGGTTGGCACGCCCTCTGTTCCTTCCTTAGGCTAAACTGCAGCCACTACCTTGGGGAATTTCAAACCACATGAGAAGGTCCAGCCCCACCGTCCAGCTCAGGCTCTGGCTTCACCTACACCCCTGCCCTGCTCAGGAATCCACAGAAACTCACTGCTGGCTCTTTTTTGGGGGGCTCATTCCCCTTCCTTCTTCCTGCCTCCTCCTGCCCACCTGGCATTTATACTTCTGACTATGAATTCATTTCAGTGTAACCAGCAAGAAATCCATCCTGCTAGATCCCAAAGCAAAAAGTGGGACTCCAGGGACCAAGATGCCAACGACTGCCTCAGGAGGCTGGCTGGATGGAGATGGGAAAACCGATAAGAAAAATAGCACAGAGCTTGGAAGTTATCCAAGAGAAACAAACTGGCCGCTGCTTCCGGGCTGACTTCAGAGGCCCCTGGACAGCAGCATGCAAAGTGGACATCTCAACACAGGCACTTCGGGCCAGCAACAGGTTAGTCCAAGTTACGGAAGTTCTGTTTTGGACATTTCTCTTCAATATTAAATATATACCTTTTTAAAAGTCAGGTGAATAGATATAATTTTGGATCTTTGTTTTCATTATACATGCGGGGGGTTTTTTTTGTTTGTTGTTTTTAAGAAATTAAAAGAGTTCGTTGGGCAACTTAAAATCCACTTTACCTTTCTTTTTCTTTTTAACATTTCATCCCAATTTACTGGAAGACTGAAAAATAAAGGGAAGTGCTGCTGCATTTACAATTCCCAGAGAATTTCACTGCTTACTGAGTCTCGAAAGCACTTGGAATTAGGAGACGATGGTCTCCCCCAACTCTACGTGACCCTGAATGGTGTGTCCAGACCCTGGTTTGCAAACCCTGAGAGTGAGGGTGCGTTCCACTACCTGTAGAGATTCTGTCGCCTCTAACACACCATGACCCCGTGTCCCAGGAGCAGCAGGATGGGGGTCAGCTTGGACGTCACTTTCTCTGCTGGGAGCCCCAGGACAGCGACATAGTGTGAGGCCTCCCCCTCAGGTGTAAATGTCTAGCACTAGATCCTTCTCTGAGAAAAGGCATTGATGATGGTACGAGAGAGGGTGGAGGTACCAAATGTGAGAGAGGGGATGGGGACGGGTGGGGACCGCACAACGAAACAAAAAGCTCATGGTCAGTTTCATCAGAATCTCCTCCCTCAAAGCCAAGAGCCCCGTCCTCAGTCTAGACCGATGCATTCCATGAAGATTCCCTGAGCACCTCCTGTAAGCCAGATGCCGTGCGAGGTGGGGACACAGTGAGAAGCAAGGCAGGCCTGCTCCCTGCGTTGCTAGAGCTTAGGGCAAAACACAGATATTAAACAAGGGTTGCTGGCAACCGTGGAAGGTACTGCAAGGAGAAGCTCGAACTTGGCCTCTTAGGGGTCCCACGCCTCCCGGCTGCTGATGGACTCCTGCAGGCTCCACCTCCACTTTAGACCTTTGCTTCTCACCTATTCCTGGTCAACCCAGGGAGATGGAAACCCAGTGAAGCTGCCTGATTCACTGGACGTCACAAAACTAAAACTAGCTGTGCTTAGAGTGGCTCTACCTCAAGGGCACAGCTCCTTCCTGGCTCGAGGCAGGAATGGCCACAGTCCACACGGTGATATGGAGCCCAGGAACTGGCCCAGGGGATAAGTTGTTGATAGGAATCCCCTACACCTGATTCCCACAGAGCCCAGCCAGTTCCTCAAGCCCAGCTCACTAAATGCCCAGCTCACTATATGCCCAGCTCATTGCACACGCCGTGGGTGGCTGGCAGGTCCCATACTTCCTCCCTGCAGCTCACCTTGGCTTCAGGCAGCACAGAGCCCGGCAGGGACGAGGTGAAGAATGCCCCACGCCATGAATGGGTCATGGGAACCCCCTTCCCTTCTCCTCCCCCCCTCCCGCCAGGCATTCATGGTCCTTTGCTATCTCTTGGCTGTTCTTCATCCCCTCTCCCTACTTAGAGGACATGAGAAAGGTATTGACATCCACTCCCACAGGCTGCTGGGGCTCAGGATTCCAGGGTGTCACGTGCCTGGTGCTCCGGCTGTGCCTGTCACTTTCTACTACCACCGCCAACACACACACAGGCATGCACGCACACACACGGGCACATGTGCACACACTCACACACATGTGCACACACACACAAGTGCACACACACACATACACACAGTGCACCGTAAGAGGGGGTGCCTATAATCTGTTGTTCTGGGCTTATGCTTATAACTGTTCCATCCACTTAGACCACTGCCTCCCGTATCCACACACACCTCTCAGAACCAGTCATCTGTAAATTAACTATTTGTGCCAAGCATTGTACTTCATACTCATTCATTCATTCATTAGATAAATATGAACTGAGACCTACTGCATGCCGGCCACCGTGCTGGTGCTGGGGATACAAGGGTGAACCGAATAGGCGTCATCCCTGCCCCCAAGGAGCTGCGGTCTCACAGACATTAATAGCTGTTTATTAAGTGCCTACTAGATATCCACCCTGTATTAAACACTTTATGAATTATCTGATTTAATCTATCAGAGAAATTGTTTCATTTAAGGAGCACGTCAAACTGAACCATAGAGAAAAATGTGGACTTGTCTAAGACTGTTGGACAGCCAAGGCTGAGGCAAGCAGGGACTCCAAAGCACTGCTCTAACCACTGGGATATCCTCTCCCCGCTCCACTAAGATTCCACCTCCTCCATGGAGCTTTCCGGAATCTTCCTCTCAGGCTCAAGGCCTTCCTTGGTCTCTCTAAACCAGCCTTCATATTTGACACAGCCATCTCCTCCTCCCACGAAGACACCCAGAGAACTGGAGGCGTGTCTGTATCCCCTCTGTATTCTTCCCCGGAAGCGCTGTTGGATGAGCGACCCTCGAGCCCCTCCAAACATGCAGCTGAATTTGCTGCTCTGAACTAGTACCCTGGGTTTTCTCTGCCATGGGTTTTCAACTCCCGGGATCTCAGATCTTCAGAAGGGGCCTCTGCATAGGGCCGACCCATCAAGGTGTCCATCTAACAGAAGAGGCGGTCAAGGCTCCAAGTGAGTAAAAGCTCCCTTTACCTCCAGCCCGGGTCAAGGTCGACTCCCTTTTCTTCCAGCGAACCTCGACCCCTCGCCAGAGGTTTGGGTGGGGAGGGGACAAGGAAACCACCTCGTCTCCAAAACGCACTGGAGAGGGTCGGCCTCCCTCCCACCACCCCGGACCAACGCCCTCCCGCGCAGACCTCAGGCACTTCCTCCAACAGAGGTGGGGCGAGACGGGAGACCCCTGGTCCCCACCCCCGGGCCCTCCTTCGCCCAGCGCGGCCGGCAGGTGGACAGGAAGCCACCGCACCTGGGCCGGGCCGCTCCTCACTCCCCGTAGCCCGGGGCGCCCCGGCGGCCAGGCGCCTCCTACCTGCTCTGTCGAGCCCCGGTCGGCCTCCTGCCGGCCCCGCCGCGCTCCCTGCCTGGGTCCCCGCCGCCGCCGGGCACTGCCAGCCTGCGGATCCCGCCCCCGCCCGGGGGTCCCGCCCCCGGCCCCGCCCCGCGCAGGTGATCCCGGGGAGCCCGGGGGCGGCGCCGGGGGCGCCAGGGTCCCGCACACTGGAGTGGCGGCGCCTCCCCGTGGTGTCCCCGTGCCTGGGTCCTTTCTGGCACTCCCGGGCACTCCGTCCAGTGGAGAAGTCCAGCCGGAGGCTTCCAGGAGAGAGGGAAGGGGCCTCGCAAAGCCGAGAGGAACTCCAGGCACTCTGAGTAGGGTCTTTTAAAGGAGCATGGCGCTAGTCTGATGGAAGGATTTGCGGGGTGCAGGTGGGGATTTGACAAGCTCAGAACGTTAGACCCGGAGGAAACGGAGGCTTGGCAGCCGGCAAGTGTCAAGAACTCGGCCCCTGTAGGATCAAAGGCTCCTTCCTCCCCAGGCTGAGCCCAGGGCGGTATCCCTAGCAGGCAGCAGGTAATCAACATTATGGAAAGCGAGAAGAGACCTCGAGAGAGGGTCTCTCCTTTCAGAAACAGGGAAGCTGGGGCCCAGGAAGCAGAGGTGAGCGCGAAGTCTTACAGCAGCTTAGTGACAGAATCAGGAGTAAAAGGCAGGTTTCCCGGTTCTGTTTTCAAATGATTTCCAGAAAGTGATTGGATCTGGGCCGACGACCTTGCGGCTTGGTGCCGGTAAGATGCTTTCAAACTCTCCCCAGCTGACTAAGAACTGAGATTTGTATAGGGAAAAAAATGTATTTTTATAGGAAACTCCAAGGTAGTAGTTATTTATTTATTTTTGAGAGAGGGTCTCACTCTGTCGCCCGGGCTGGAGTGCAGTGGCGCAATCTCGGCTCACTACAACCTCCACCTCCTGGTTCAGGCAGTTCTCCTGCCTTAGCCTCCCAAGTAGCTGAGATTACAGGCACATGCCACCAAACCGGCTTTTTTTTTTTTTTTTTTTTTTTTTTTTTTTTTTTTTGGTAGGGATGGGTTTCACCAGGCCAATCTTGAACTCTTGACCTCAAGTGATCTGCCAGCCTTGGCCTCCCAAAGTGCTGGGATCACAGGCAGGAGCCACTGCTCCCAACCTACTTTATTTTATGGAGACAGGGTCTTGCTCTCTTGCCCCAGCTGGAGTGCAGTGGCATGATCTCGGCTCACTGCAGCCTCTAATTCCTAGGGTCTAGCGATCCTCCCACCTCAGCCTCCCAAAGTACTGGAATTACAAGCATGAACCACCATGCCCAGCTGCAAGGTGGTATTTATTAACAAATATTGATTGAGAGTATAATTCTGTAATTCAACCTTCTCACCAAAGACTTGAGACACCTGAGTAGGGTCTTTAAGAAGCATGGCACCAATCTGTGGCTTCAAGAGCTTCCCACTGGAGGCGAGGCGGACCTGGTTACAGGGAGAGGCCACAATGGGGGCAGAGGAGCCCAGAGGGAGCCTGCTCTGGCCCTGAGGCCTGAGTTCCATGGTAAACTGCACTGGAGGCCACTTCAGGATGCTTCAGGAGGCTCTTCCAGGTTTGTTTGTGGAGGCAAGAACCCCCAGTGCATGGTCTGAGGTTCAAATCCTGGCTCCACTGCTTACTACTTGCAAGATGGGAGCAGTTTTTAAAACTCTCGGAGACTGTTTCTTTCTGTAAAATGAATAGAATGTACTTCGGTATAGTTGTGGTAAGGATTAGAAATGAGATCACGCTCGTGAATTGCCAGGCAAATGGGAGAATGATTATGCCAAGTGGCGGGAACTGGGAAGCGGGGGTCTTGGGGTCTCAGGTAGGTCCTTCTCTGTGGGGTTTGGTGATCTTCAGCCTTCTGTTACCATGGCTCAAGCCCACCTTCTGCTTTGTCCCTTAATCCAGGCTGGCTAAGCCACAGGACGCCTGCCATGGCGGAATGAGTTTGTGCACACCCACAGTTAGGGGTTCGGGAAGGGAGCTCTTGCTTCACCAGCCCTCCCATAACCAGGGGCAGCCACACCAGCCAAGCCCAGGAGACAGAAGCCTGAAAAGGCCCTTCAACGCTCAGTGCATTCACTCATTCCGTGCTACGGAGTATTCACTACAGGCTGGGCACTTTGCAAGGTGGGGCAGAGTCAGTAGCGTCCCCTCCCTGCCCTGTAGACCTCACCTTTTAGTAGGGCTGGGGTTGGGGGGACAGATGACCCAAGCGCAAAAGATGGTAACAAGATAATAAGACTGTCTGACAAGTTCTAACGTAAAGAATGATATGGTGTCATTGATTATTATGGGTGGGAGGTCAGGGGCTCCCTCAGAAACGGAGAAGAAGGTAAAAACCCATCTGTCAGTGGAGGACACGGGAGCTGAGACCCAAAGGACAAAAGGCAGGGGAGGAGGGGCTGGAGCTGGGGCTGGGGAGCATTCTAGAAGAGGGCAGGGTGGGACAGGGTGGGGGAAGCAGAAGGTTGGTTTGTGCAAAGATCCTAGGACCAGTATGGCCACCAACGCCAGGAATGGTTTCCGGGAGAGTGGGCAGAATGAGGTCAGAGGCAGGCAGAGATCAGATGGGAGGTCTTCAGGTCAGAGTAAGGATTTTAGTCCAAGGACTGGGGAAGCCATGGACGGTTCCCCCTTGCCACTAAGAAAAACAACAGGCTGGGGGCGGTGGTGCATGCCTGTAATTCCAGAACTTTTAGAGGCTGAGGCAGGAAGATTACTTGAATCCAGGAGTTCGAGATGAACCTGAGCAACATGGCAAGGTCCCGTCTCTACAAAACAATTTTTTTTTTTTTTTTGAGATGGAGTTTCGCTCTTGTTGCCCAGGCTGGAGTGCAATGGCGCGCTCTCAGCTCACCGCAACCTCCGCCTCCTGGGTTCAGGCAATTCTCCTGCCTCAGCCTCCTGAGTAGCTGGGATTACAGGCACGCGCCACCATGCCCAGCTAATTTTTCGTATTTTTATTAGAGACGGGGTTTCACCATGTTGACCAGGATGGTCTCGATCTTTTGACCTCGTGATCCACCCGCCTCGGCCTCCCAAAGTGCTGGGATTACAGGCTTGAGCCACCGTGCCCGGCCTACAAAACAAATTTTAAAAATTAGCCGGCCATGCCTATAGTCCCAGCTGCTTAAGAGGCTGAGGTAGGAGGGTCACTTGGGCCTGGGAGGTAGAGGACGCAGTGAGCTGAGATTGCACCACTGCACTCCAGCCTGGGGGGACAGAGCCAGAGCCTTTCTCCAACAATAGGAAAAAGGCAAAGAAAAAGGTTTTGAAACAAATTTAATGGAATGTAAAAAAAAGTGTGGTGATTTTCCATTTTTTAAATAAAGATGATGTATATATAAATCAGTTTTATAAGCCAATGAAAATTGCTTGTAAAATTACCCAACATCCAGCACTTTGGGAGGCCGAGGCGGGAATATCCCCTGAGATCAGGAGTTTGAGACCAGTCTGGCCAGCACAGCAAAACCCTGTCTCTACTAAAAATGCAAAAAAAAAAAATTAGCTAGGTGTGGTGGCATGCACCTGTGATCCCAGCTACTTGAGGAGCTGTGGCAGGAGAATCACTTAAACCCAGGAGGTGGAGGTTGCAGTGAGCCAAGACTGAGCTGCTGCACTCCAGCCTGTGACAGAGTAAGACTCTGTCTCGAAAAAAAGCAATAACCCAACAAACCACTTCTGTTTCAGACGGTACCATACGGAGTCTCAGGTGCTGGGGATTTTACAATCACAAAAAAACCAGCTGCTTCCACGTGGAAAATGCTCAGATGCAACCAGTTATCCTTCCCTTTCTTATTAGCAGAAGGTATAACTACAAACTAGCCTTGGGGCGGCTGTGTTTTCCTCTCCCGGCCGGGGTTCTCCAGTCTTTCATGTCTCCCCTCAAAGCCTTAGTCTGCTGTTTATGGCTTTGAGATGGTTGCTGGGGAAACCAACCAAATGTCATGTGGGATTAGAATGCAATCTCAGGGGAGGAGACGAAGCACAGAGAATCATGGGTCCAGAGAACCCCAAGTCCACATTGTTTAACCTAGTACAGAGAGAGAGAGAGAGAGAGAGAGAGAGAAAGAAAGAGAGAGGAAGGGAGGAAGGGAGGGAGGGAGGACGGGAGGACAAAGATTCCTAGACCAATTGATTTTGAAACAATTCCCTGTCTCTCAACTAAGGGGGTGGAGGGAGCAGCAAAGCCACAGACACAGGCCAAGGTTCTAAATTACCTAGAGGGCACACAGTGCAGTGTGTCATGTGGCCGTTCCCCAGATGGACATGCGCTGGGTGGACGTGAAGTCCAGAAGAGGGCCAGTGCCTCTTCCCATGCGCCACTGTCCTGAATGCGGGCTGATTCCCATCTGACCTCTAGGAGCATTTGGCCATAGAGGATGAGGAGACAAAAGACTGACAAGGACTGATCTCGCTGCAAGCCACCTGATCTCCCCGCACCTCTGTGTTCTCATCTGTGAAATGACAGGTTGGATGGCTTAGTCTCTGAGGCCTCACCCAGTGCCATGGTAAGGCTGATAATCGTGAGTGTACCTTTAAACAGCTAGCCCACATAATTACCTGACAGCTTCCTCATTTTTTATGCTACGCTTTTTTAAATGTGCGTTAGCACAAACCATTTGTTGGCAATTACAAGGGAAAAACTTCTATTCCCAGAATGAAAACAGGAAGCTGTAAATTAATTTATTTAAGTCCTTCTGCCATCAGCAGAAGCCACTCCTCCCCACCTCGACAAGGAGCCTGTGCTCTCCTGGTGGCAGTCAGCCCATTCACAGCTCTCTCAGCTGCTGAGTCCTCAGCAGTGAAACCCCATCTCTGCTAAAAATCACAGTCCAGTCACTCTAGGAATTCCAGAGCAAGAGCAGAGAAAACACAGCGAGGAAAGATGCAATCCAATGGCTATGCCATCTACTTGTGCTGTGACTTCAGGCAGATCTCTTAACCTCTCTGGGCATGAGTTCCTCTTCTATAACTCATTCGTTCAGTGAATATTTACCAAGAACCTGCGATGTGCCAGTGATGAA